CCTCAAGTTTGCTTGCCTCAAGCTTAGCATCATCAGCTTCCTTTCGTTCCTTCTCTTCCTTCTCTCTCTTTAACCGTTCTTCCTCCTCAACCTTCTCTATTTGTTCTTTTTTGTCTAGATCAAGAAAAGTGAAAACTTATGAGAAATTATTAGAAGCAAATTGTTGGAACCTTGCTAGAAGAGAATCAGATATTAGCGCGTGAAAATCTCATAAACTACACAAACGTTGGACCTTTCACATGTCATTGTAGAAAATGAACAACAAGAAAAGTGACAAGGATAACACTAACTAGTCTAGAAGGTTGCTCTACTTGGCATAGGTGAAAATACCTTCCTGAATTCTTCATCAAAAAAAAAAATACCTTATTGAATTCAAAAGCTCTAAGATCCGTTGGGGGCTTTAGGCGCAAAGCGCAAATAAAGGGTGGGCTTTAATGAAAACAGACGCAAAGGGAGAATATAATACAAATATATATGTTTAGTCCAAGACTTATAATTATAAACATGAACTACACATTTTTGACCAAAGAAATTGAAAAAAATTAATAATATAATGAAATATCAATTGTTTAGTGTCACTTCTTCATAAGAGGCTCATTGGCAAGGAAAAGTTTGCCTTAGAACCTTGATGACTACGCTGAAGCGCACATAAAGCAAGGCGAAGCGCTCAACATGTTTTGAGCCTCGCTTCAGGGCTTAACCGCGCTTAAAGCGCGCCTTTGATAACACTGATTGAATTATAACAGCCTTCTAGTCACTACAAGGTCTCAGATCAGGTGCTTTTAGGCATCTACTCAGAATATTCCCTATAAATTAACAAGTAAGTTATGTATAACAATACAATCTGAGTTTTATAAAGTGGAGTAGCCTTGTGGAGAGGTACTATATATACCAGAGTAAGTTCTTGGAAACGAATGGGGATGACCAATTGGGCTATGCATTTCCGCCACATTTAGTATCTCTTCCCATCAAAAGGAACCAGTTGTTAATTATACAGGGAGCAGAGAGCGTGAATTGTATAGGACCTCATATTCAGGAACATTGCAAGATTGCAGGATGGTTAAATATCTTCCAGACTTGCTTGAGCTCTTATTCAGGGAAAAGATCTCAATGGCGGGCAGAGACTATTGAAAAAGGCTGGTAACAGAAATGATTACTTCACAGTAAGATCGTCCTATTAGAGAGTTTGAGAAGGGGAGACAATGACGTTCCATATACTTCCTGTGGATTCATGAAGCACCGAAGAAGGAATGTTTCTTTGCTAGGCTGACAGTACAACAACGAAAAACCCATTATAGTCCCACAAGGGTTAGGCTGGCACTATGGAGGCAATTCTTTTTAGCATGGATTCCGAAAAAAACTTGTTGATCGCAAACAAAAAAATGACTCTACAAGTTAGGAGTCCCAAGCATAAAAAGAGGAAATGTAGGAAATGAGGTTCATTCTTTTTCCTACTTATGCTTGTTTCATTTGTACCATGGACATAGAAAATAGTGATATCAGAACTCAGAAGGAACCATTTTGCAAGAGGTATGCAAAGCAACCCCAATCTGGAGTACTTGTTTTGTTGATAAATTAGGGATGATAATCTTCTCATGTACAAAATCTTCCTTGAGGGGAAAAGAACTTACCCTGAAGCTGCTCAACCCTCCCTTTAAGTATCTTCTGCTCATTTTTCAGCTTAGAGACTTCAGTTTCCTCTTTTGCTATTGCAAGTTTAGCTTCTTCGATCTCCTTCTTCCTTATAGTTATACCTTCCTGAAATGTTGCAATTTTTTTCTTCAATTTATCTCTAGCTACTCTGCCGACCTCCCAACATGTATTTGGGCACTTAACTTTACCATCATGCTCATCACTCCCATCGCAACAATCTGCTCATTTGTGCCATTAAGATAAGTTACTAGTTTAAAAAAGTAAACCAGCAATATTAAGAAACATGAAATATACATCAATATGATTTTATAGACAAGAAAAGACTGTCAGCGATGGTCCAAAGGCAATGATAATCATTCTACAGTGGCTATTTATGTAAGAAGTAAAATCCTTTTTAATAATAGAACTTCATCTAAGAAGTAATATCCTATACTGACAATGAATTCTTCAAGAACTGAAACTTTATGAAACTTAGCTTGTCCTGGATTTGAATGATACGTGTTTTGCAAGATATTGTTGTTCTTTTCGTTTCTTTTTGGATAACCATCTTTTTAAGAAAAAAGAAAACACTTTCATATTAATGTCATTCAATATCTTTTTAGTTACTGTTAGAATGCACTATTTCAAATCAAACTAGGCACTGTGATGTAGAAAAAGATTCTAATCAGACGCTATACGGAAAGACAAGAATACAATGATTCATACCACAAATGCCATCATTCACCCTAGATGAGTATATGAAGAGAGGAGCATGCCCTGCATTTTTGCAATAAAACTTCCCGCTCGGACATGCCGAAGTTCCTGCAAACCAATCACCAAGGACAAACAACTTTCAAACACATGCACATATTATATTAATATATAAAAAGGAAGGCAAAATTGTTCGACCCAAGATGAAACTCTTATCATGCTTTTTCCTATGTTGCACCGCGAATAAATCTTCATTTTCTAAAAGACTAGTTATTAGTATTTGAAAGAGATGAGTCCAATAGGGCATAATGTATATAGAGAATTCATATAGTCAAATCCAACTATGGTGTTGTGGACCTAAAATCAATAAACATGTCCATTTTTAGATAAGGTGGTTCACACAATTCGGTTGGATTTCAGAGCATGTAGAGATCCTACTTTCTAGTGGTTCCAGTCTCAGCACTACCACGAACAAAATATTTTTACATGTTTGGACTAATAAAAAATCAGGCTACCGCATGCAGGGCAGAGGTAGAAGCCCAGCTACAAGTTTAAAACCAGTCATTAGCACTTGAAGTAGTTGTTCCAAAATCCACAATCCATAAAGTTGAAATTTTGGCTCCACCTCTGCCTACATTATGGGAGCTTTACAAAGCTAAACTAAATAAATTGAAGTGTCACTCTAGTTGTTGCACAATTCAATAATAGTTTAATGATTGCAATGCACCAACAACAACATACTCAGTATAATCGTAGGTCTAGGGAGGGAAAAGTGCACGCAAACCTTACCTCCACCTCCCAGAAATGCACCATAAATGCATAGTTTTGCAAAACACAATCGAGCAAGAAGAAACTAGAGAACAATAGGGAAAATACACACAGACCTGGCTCATCAGACCCATCTGGACAGTCACAAAAATCATCATTGAGCTGAGCCTTGGTGAATTTCTTCGACCCATCTTTACAATTTATAGCACCAGATGATAAACCCTTGTAATAATTCTCATCTGCAATCAATCAAATGTTAACAAAATCACAAATGGGTCATCTGCACTTCCATCAAAACACCATAATTAACAAACATTTCTACAGAAAATTTCAAAATCACGAAATGGGTCATCTTCACTTCCATCAAAAAACCAAAAGCATAAAACCCCGAAATCACGAAATGGGTCATCAGCAATCCCGTTAAACACCAATATACATCACTATTCTTAACGGAAAAATTGAAATACAGAAATGGGTGTTCAACAAATGAATACGAACCTTCCGGGGCAATTCCGAGGTTGACTAAAGAAGGAAGAGACACAGATCTATCGATTGAAGATATGCAGAAGATACAAGAGAGTAAAAAAACGAATTGAAATCGTAATTCCATTTTCCTTCACCAAAATACGCAATTCGAAAACTAAATCTAAATCAGCATTAATTTTCAATACACAGCAAAAATTGTATGAATCGAACGAGATTTGCAGTGGCTAACTGATTGTATAGTGAGAAGACTATGAAGCTTTGGGCCAATGAAGAGTATTTCTTAGAGTTGGTAATGGAGCTCGGCAGCCATTGGTGGAGTACTTTAACGATGGCGTTTTAACACTCTTCTCACTAATTTTTTTTTTTAAAGTCACGGCGTTCAAGCCGTAAACGCAATCACTAATTCTTATATTATGATAGATTATTTATATTCATTTCCGAAATTATCATATGAAAAAATATGTGTACTAAACTATCCTTTCATTGAAGAATTTCTATAAAGATGATTGTATATTGTTATATATCGACGATATTATAATTGTATGCTATTATTGTTTGTTGATTATCACCACTTACGATTTTAATTATTACTCTAACCTCAACTACGATAATTATCTCCATTCATTAAAATGAATTCAACGAGAAGTGAAAATCTTATGTTTATGCAAAAGTGAAAAAAATTAACGTATTTACCATTTATTTTATTTAATTATTATCACCCAAAAAACTAAACATCACATTATATAAAGAAATATATACTAAACTCTGCGTTTGTAATGTTTTTAATCTATAATTAACCTATAAATTTGAATTTATTACTTAAATACTCGATAATATTAATAAAATATGATTATTATAAGCCCTTAGCAAAAGAACAGGACAGAAAAGAACTATAGAAATAGAGGGAAATGTTTTTTTAAAAAAAAAATGTTATTACGTATTTAAATAATTTATTTATTTTTAATTTTGGAGTTGAAGGGAAATTATTTTTTATAATCTCATAGTTTTTTAATCTTGCTTCAAATTTCTCTATTCACCTATAAAACTTTCTTTGTTGTAAATTTCTATATATTGAAAATAATTAGCAAAATTCATATTTATAATAATAAGAAATTAAATTAAACTACGCTAGAAAATCTAAATTAATAAATCTTAATCAAACAAAATTAAATTAATATTTTTAAAACAACAAATCTTAACAACTTATAATTCTAATTCGAATAGGAATCCTTTGTTTTACCTATAATATCAACTAAATTTGAAATCATAAAAGGATTAGAACATAATTAATTTTTCTTTCTTCCAAATCCTTGTTAACATCGGGTTTATCACATAATTGTTTATTATTAATATAAATATATGGTTCTTTGTTATAAATAAATATTACTTTTTATTTACCTCTACACTTTCTTCTTCACAAATAATTTTGAAAATAATCATCGATATCATGGCAACTTATACTTTTGAGCATAGAGAATATTTAGAAGATGTAATTGAAAGCCAGGTATTACTAATCTCTAATTAATTAATTAATTACCTCAATTTTCCAATAAGGTTTTCGACGTTTAATTAGGTTTTATAATGGATTAAATTTTATAACTTATAATAACTACATTTCTTCGTCATTATGATTATTTATCGTGTTATTGTTGTTTTATGATGTTTTTTATTGAATGTTTAATTATAATGTATCAGTACTTGGTATATTATTTCGTTATTGTTATTATCTCTTTTAATCTAACTATATCTTGAACATTATAACTATCTATAATCACATATTAACACGTTCATAATCTAAATCATTTTTTTTAATTTTTTATTCTTATTGATTATTATAATTATATCTATCGAATACTAAATTTTCCTCTTCTTTTTTTTTTTATATGTAGGGTTTCTACGTGACAAACAATTATGGAAGGGAAATACCTTGTGGAATAGTAAAAATTGATGAAAAATCTGCAATTTTTGAAAAGGCAAAAAAAGCAGCTGTTTTTGCAGTTAATAAATACAATGAAAAAATGGAAGATTCATCAAAATTAAGAATATTGAAAATTATAAATCTTAATTTTGAACCTACTGCTGGTGCAATTTATTACATGACTTTATCATTATTGGAAATAAGTTGTGGAAATATTTTTCATTATCAAGCTAAAATATGGGGAAAAATCAACTCTAGTTACAAAGTTGATATTTTTCAACTTGCCCCTTATGTGCCAAGAATCTCAGGTAATTAATTTCAGCTTTTTAAAATATTTTTTTTGATTTCATATGTTATTTTTGTTATTATTTATTGTCTCTTTACATCCATTATTCTGATACCTGATCCAGAATCTAATTATTCTGAATTAACATTTCAGATTTTGAGAGATAAAATTGACAGATTTAAAATTTCTTGAATATGAATGCATCACTTTAAAAAATTTACCATATGCATTATTTAGTCTTCACATGCCCCATTTCTAAACTAAGTCGATCATATTTCTTATCCATAGTTTGAATCGAGAGTTCTGGTTATTACTCGAATCTTCTTTTTATCTTACCATTATTAATTTTTTTGTATTTGCAGAATATCAAGATTTCTCTATGAAGGTTAATAATTTGCAAGACTGGATGGATGAGAATTATCTATATTACAAGTGTTGCTATAGATATAAAAGGGTAAATTTATTTTTTTTGATAAAAAAAAATTAATTATTCATATTCGTGTATATTATTTTCAAACTTGCAAGTATAATAATAATCTTTTTTTCTATATTTTTTTTTTTTGCAGCTTGTTTCTGTGGTGGTGATTAGAGATGAAGAAAATGGAGAATCATTGGGCTATGGTTTTATTAATTTCAATAAAAAATCAGCAGCAATGGAATTTTTAGAGAGCAATAATGGGGGAAAATGCCAAATTCCAACCAAATTTATTCATTGGAGATTTGAGAAAAAATGAAGTTTTTTTTTTTTTTGAAATAGTGTATTATGCTTTTTATTAAAGGATTAATTTTTTTATATATTAATCATTTATTAGTTTAATTAATGTAATATTTACACTTGGTCTATTAATATGGTATTTAGATGGCTATTAATTTTTGAATTGTTTCCAATAGTAACATGGTATTTATTATTGATTGATTTCAAACAATTATAATAATCATATGGTATAGAAAAGTAAATTCCAGAATAAATTTTATAACCAAATAAAAAAATTTCATTGATAATCCAAATATCAATGGATTAGGATGAATTAGCAAACAAATTCAATTAACTAGACGGACAAGCAGAGATATAATTAAGCCTCGTAAAAAAAAATTGACTGAATCTACTTGAAAAGAAAATATGATTCAACTTCGTTGAGCAATGTTATATTTTCTAGATAGAAGAATAATCAAAATAGACTTTATTTAAACAAATTTATCTAACTTTTCGTCTAAATTTATGATTTAGTAAGGAAATTGATATTAATTATCACATAATTCTTTTGTTGTAATTATTATGAGTCTCGAATTGTGCACCAATATACACACATATACGTAGCAAAATTTGAATAAAAGGGGAATTGAAATACTAAATTTGCATGATAAAGTTTTACAATGTTTTATTTTTTTTTTCATTTTTTTCACATTAATTAAAACCATAGCATAATAAGTACAAGAAATGATTAAATAGACAAAACACTTGCCCTTCTAAGTTGCATTGCGGCAAATTCTAGCAGTAGGATTTGAGACACAAACTTGAAAGTACTTCTTCTTGGCCTCCGGTGAGCCGCGCTTCGGCTCATCGTCTGCCATGGCGGCCCCAGCCACAGAACATGCGGCAGCGGCCGCCATGGCAAAGAACAACTCCCTACGACCACCGTTGTTGTTGTTGATCTCCTTCTTGTTGCTCATTACAACATTTTCTCCCTCAGACACGTGAGAACTTGCTTTCACCATAACAACCCTAGCACCACGGGTCGCGGCCGGGGCTTTGGTCAGGGCCGCGATCGAACCGCCGGCCAAGGAGGTTGTCATTGTCATGGAAGCCATTTGATCAACTCAATATACTACTAGTTGATTTTTTGAGCTAAGAGGAATGGTTTGGTTTGTGTTAAAAATAAATGTTATGTATGTAATGGAACAAAAAAATGTAGTGAATTGCCATTGGTAATGTCTTATCTATTTTCTTATCTAAACAAAGGGTTAATAGCCAATAATCTTTTGCCACGTGGAAAGCTCAATCTTGATCTTGAACATATATTTGTGGTCAGTTATGCCCAATGTTGTAGGTACCAATTTTTTTTGGCTCTTCATCTAAAATTGGGGGTATTCTTTTTTTCTTTTTGGGTGGGTGGGGGGGTAGGGGGGGGGGGAGTGAGAAAATATTCATTGGTTGCTAATTAAAATTTATCCATTGATTTTGCCTATTGAAGAGTAAAAATGGTCTACAAAAATATCTCATTTAAAAAAAAAAATCAATTTGTTCTAACTATCATAAAAGATTATCTGAATTATATAGCCTTAAAAGCTAATTACATCATATTCATATCCTAAATTACAAAAACTCCTTAAGATTATAAGATCTAGGATACATCAGAAAATTTGTGTATCTGAGAGGGGATAAGAATGTATTATTGAGAGGATAAGGATGTATTCGAGTAAGGATTTTTTTAAATTTTTTTAAATGATAGAAAAATTTGAAAATATGATATCTTAAGTTATGTATTTATGATTTTTTCTAAAATAATTCAAAATCCCATTATATATGAAATTCCGACTCCGCCTTAAACCGTTGCTAAGAAATGAACATTTGGGCTTATGAGCTCAAAAGGGCCTATTCGGATATTTGGTCCATTTCCCTTTCCAAAGGAGTAGGCCCATTAGCCCATTAACCCCTTGCTAAGAAATGTAACATTTGGGCTTGTGGGCTCAAAAGGGCCTATTCGGATATTTGGTCCATTTACCTTTCAAAAACATTAGGCCCATAAGCCCATTAATGATTTCGCAGCACCGATTTAGCTTACGATGTGATTGGAAGTCCTCACAAAACGAGTAATATCTTACAGAGAGTCGACAAGAAATTTTATCTTCAATTGACCATTTCGATCCTTATCTTAAAATTTATCAATTGTGAATTAAACACTTTATCAATCACAAACCTATAGATAAATGTGACCTACAACTTGTCATTCTCACACACAAATACGAAGTTCAGAATCAATTTTTACAATATAATTTGTCTAAATATAGAATTCCATACATTTTGATGGTAAATAACATATTTACCCAATCAATATTACTTATTATCAATTAGTTACATATAAATCTCTTTACAAAAGTTAATTAATTATTTTTAACAAAATTATGTCCTACTTAATTATAAAAAATATGTACACAGTCCATATATATATAAAATAAATCCTTTTATCAAACTATATCTTAATTTATTATCCTTATTTTTGGTAAATTACACAGACTATATCTTAATATATTATCCTTATTTTTGGTAAATTGCAAATCAGAATCGGAGACCTTAATTTACTATCTTATAATATAGGAAAATTTTCAAAATTAACTTTGGCAAGCAAATAAATCAATAACTTTCTTGCCAAGAGGAAAAAACATATTAACTGTTAAAATAAAAAATAAAAGAGAAAAATTCAGAATTTGAAAAATACCCAGAGAAAAATTTGAGTATCACAAAAATCAATGATATTAATGTATTTCAAAATTTTTGTAGGGAATATCTTATTCTTACCAAATTTGAAAAATAATTTTCCAAAAATTGTTTATTTAATTATGGTTATAATATTTGTTATTATTATATAATCTTGATCATTAAAAATTAAACAGTATACATATCTCTCATCTAGATATGTACTTGACGAAATGAAGAGAAAATATAACGAGAGGATCGAAGCCAAAATCCATACTCCACCTATATATAGTCTCACATGCGTAACACCTCCAACACACACAATTCAACATTGTTATTATCTGCTACATTATTCCCGAGCCCTGAACCCTGAACCCTGATCGTCATCTAGCAATGGACGAGGTCTTGTTTTTCGTGGGTGGGTTCGGGTTGTTATTTTTATTTGTGGTTATTATCAAATGGGTATTTACGCAACATACTTATTATTGTTTTTATTGCTTCTTTTGTTAAAATGCCAAAACCTAATAATGGTGGTGGTGGTAAAGAATTTTTTTAAATTTCTTTAGTAATTTTAATTTTTGAGATGATTAATAGCAAAACTAGAGTTCTTTTTTTTTTTTAAAAGAGTTTGGATTTAGTGATTTAATTATAATCTGCATGAATGTTAGACTATAGTATTGGTGTTGGAATATTTCTCTTAGTTTTTTAATGAAATGAAGTTTGTTTTAATTTTTTATATTTAGTTTATGCACTTGTTGTTATGTTTATATATACTATATTGTTTCTTTATAGTGTGGATGGTTGTTTTATGGAAAAAATCTTTACTCTCTTATTTTAATTTATATGATTCAAACTACTTAAAATTAAAGTATTGTCAATTTGTCATCTAAGTCACAACAATAACAATTCAAAATAATTAAAAACATTAAAAAAAATTACGATTAAAGAATAACTTGTTTATATCTTAAAATCTGAAAAATACCACATATATTAATAAAAGTATTCGAATTATGCACATTATAGTTATAGCATACAAATATAATTTTTCTATTCACTAAACCTAAAATTTACACTTATTTATATGGATGTGTTTGTTTATTTACTAGTATTTAGATGCCTAGTTTATCTATCATATTGCCTAACAATGGAGACGGATTTAGCATATAACATAGTATTTGTATGCTAAATCCATCTCTATTGGGCAATATGATAACTACGACTCTTCCAAAACGTCACTAATAGACGTAAGAAGATGGACACTACTCATGTTGCTAGGAGTCTTCCAAAATCTCAGTAATGCACGTCGAATTCTCTAAAAGTAGGATTAGAACCAAATAGAGAGGAAAAGAACAGAGCAGTTTTTTAAGTCAAAATGGACTCAAGCCAGTCTGATGTACATTCATAGGCAACAAATGTTACAGCACCAGCAGGTGCTGCTTTAACAATTGATGGGACAATACCTTTATATAGTCCTGCCCAACCTTCCTCTAACAAGATCCGGCGGACCCCATCGTACATATTTTTATAGGCACGAGGCTCGAGTCGAGCCCCGTATCTTGGATGCCTCTGTAGTCCTTCAATCTGAAAAAGAGATATGGTAGTAGTCCATTAGCTGGTCTGAAATAACAGTTCTGTATGTGATTGAATATCAGAAGCTCACACTATATCGAGAAATTTGTCTGGAGCCAACCAAGCCTATGGATATCGAGAATGTGGTCCCACCCTCTACCCTTATTCACTTAAATACGGGACTTAGCTCGAACTTGTGACTTGAGACACAAGGTCAATTGAACCCCGAGGTCCAATATGCAATAAGTTTGCATCTATTCATTCGTTTTATTGATGCTTATAATGATGTGAAATAATTAAAAAAAAAGGCAGCCTAGTGCACTAATCTCCCGCTATGCGCGAGCGTGGGTCCGTATAATCTATTATACGAAGCCTTACCCTGCATTTCTGCAAGAGGCAGTTTCCACAGCTCGAATCCGTGACCTCCTGGGTACATAGCAACTACTTTAACAGTTATGAAAGGCTCCCCTTTAATGATGATAAGGATAATCTTGAAGAAATATTTGGTTTGAGAGAAGCATACACAATGGGAACAAGAAATAAGTAGCTAACACGAGAAGCCACATTTATTCTCAAAATCCATGACGATAACAGGAGTGCTAATGGTGTCAGAATTCGATAGTTATTGACAAACAGACTAATATGGTCAAGTCCCTACATGTCTCAAGTCTCATTTAGTAATTTTTAACCTGATGATTGTACCAACGCACGAGAAAAACGAAGAAGGAAATTTACCTGGAACCTCTTTTTAACCACGTCAAGAGGATGGCAGACAGCTTTAGCACATGTTCCAGAACCTAAACCACAGATGAAGAGCTGAAAGCTAGAAATAAACTCATCACCTTGGCTTGAGTCAGAAGATTAAGACGATTCCAGGCCTACAAAAGATTAGGCCAAATTGAGTAAGCCTAAATAACTGCGCAAACAACTGTTACAATAAACTTTAACGTCATGTAAACTTGTAGCAAGTGATCGAAGAACAAGAAACTACACGAATAATCAATTCAAATACTATCTACCCATCAAGCCTTCGAGCAGGGGATTGAGACAACCCTCGACTACCTTCTACCCTGATTCACGACCTCCATATGCTCATGTCTAAAGCCATGTCCTCGATAAGCTTAATTAGTGCTATGTCCTATAAAATCACCTCTCCTCAGAACTTCTTCAAGGCCTGCCTCTACCTTTCGTTGAACCCCCTCATGTCCAAAGTCATGTCCTCAATAAGCTTAATTAGTGCCATGTCCTATAAAATCACCTCTTCTCAAAACTTCTTCGGGGCCTGCCTCTACCTCTCGTTGAACCCCACCCATGGACTGAGGCGTAGTTGATTAATGGATGGATTTTCCAGTCTCAGATGCAGTAATGACTGCTACAGAGTGAGTGGATTCCCTTCAAACAAAAGCAAGTGGAAGAAAGGGATAACCAGTTTAAAATCTGGCAATTCTTGGTTAGATTATATCTTGCATGTTACCATCATGATTGGTAAGTTAAACAAGTAACCCTCTAATAGAGTTCCATTCACGGGCACCATTATCCCAATGGCCCAAAAATCACAACCACGTATCAAACATGCCAAGACCAAGACAAAAAGAGCATCGTAATGAATATAATTTGGAGGGACTAAAAGATTTACCTTCATCCAGCGTTTGAACGTATCATAAGTTCCAAACTGCAAACCAGCATATGGAGCAATCTCAACTAGTGTAGGTGTCAATCCAGCATAGAGTCCTGGAACACCCCGAGCTCTGAATATGTCAATGAATGCAGACCTCATGTTTCGATAAATCTGAACATTGGCATAAGAATCAATCTCATGAAATCTTCATCAATAGACATTTAGAAATAGTATATACTAAAACATCTTACTATGTCCCTTAAACATAGGTGTCAGCGCTTTATTTGGCCTTTGGTTCGCAAAAAACTATTGACCGAATTTGCTAACCTTCTAAAAGGCAATGTCATGATGAAAATAAGGAAAAAGGTATAATTCTTACCTTAAGTGACGCATTGGAAAGGTAACTCATATTGAGAAAATTGGAAAAAAAATACATTTTGCAGCTTTATGTCAAATTGATACTTCTGACACTGTGTAAAAGTTGTAATATTTTTTACTCGGATTTTAACTTATAGAATTGATGAAATATGCTTCTACACTTACCAATGGTTGTTTACAAAGTACTTGATGTATCCCCCTATCTTTTAAATAGTAATGTCTCTTGATTTGTTAGATGGCTTATCATGTTTCACCACATTTATATGACCTCTTACTTGAGGAAGGATGACTGAACTATCTCAACACCAAAGAACAAAGAGTGGAGACGCAGACACGACCTATCTACAAGTTTAATTTGTCAACTTTTCCAACTTTTAAGAAGAAAAAAAAGAAAACATGATTAAACAAAAAAGTTTTGGTTAATCAACTTTCATGATCAAATTGCAAGATAAAGCAGCAGAAAATACAGGTTACATATGTGAGGGCGCATCACAGAATATCTTGGAACCTACAAAAGACGTGCCAACTACCTTTGGCTCCCCTTGGGAGGCTAAAATGGTTCTCAGGAGATCAAATGGATATGAACCAACAGTAGCTGCACATCCTGCTAATGCTCCGCTGATATAAGAAAGATAAGGGCTCAAATTGATGTGATCCTCTGCATCATACAAAACAGTCAAACCATCAAATGCTAAGGCTTGCCTACGGTTTGCACAAAACGCTGTGAAGAGCGTTGTCTTAACATTAAAATAACTACATCAGATTCAAGGAAGATCATTGATGAGATGTAACACCTAAAAAAAATATTTTTAACACCACAAAAGGTGCAGAAATTTGTAGATCTCACGAGAAGTGAAATGCTTCAAATCACAATGAATAACACACAGTCAGGGACATCAGACATGTTATGCATAACTTTCAATACCTAGGGGGATGATCTTCAAAGCTGAGGATCTATTGGAAACAGCCTCTCTACCCACAAAGAAGGGGTAAGGTCTGCTTACATCCCTTCCACGACCTCACCCTGTGGGATTTAACTGGGTATATTGTTGTTATCTCCAGGCAGGAATGAATAATATTGATGTAACAAGAAAATCAGATTAGAAGTCCTATAACAAAGGACAGAACCTTTACAAAAATATGGTTATCTACGATTGACACCTAGCCATCTATGCTACCTAAGATCTCACCTGTGCATCAAAAGTTAATGAAAACAGTAGAAAGTGATCTCAGCCATAGGAAGTAATTTTCTACCCCCTTCAAATGCTATCCTATTTGTCTTCCTCTATATCAGGGACGAGTATTCTGACAAACCTGTTTTTGAAGAACCAGCAGCAAAAGTTTTCAATTGCTGCAACACTGTGAATTGTATGGCAGTATATGGCATAACCATCAACAAAGCTGGAACATTACCCCGCCAGAAGCCCTGTGGCAAGAATGGATATGTGCAACCAAAATGAATTTACCAGAACTAGCATCAAGTTTGAAAGACATCAACTGCTAAAATAATTAACTACAAACTACTTCCTTCTCCCCCTCCCCCTCCCCCCCCCCCCTGGTGGGCCAACACACACTATTAGATGAAGAACATAGGAATTAGCACTTGGAAGAACCCATGTTAGACTTTTAGTGTTGCAAGGCCTACATTGGTTACTATGTTAGAAAAGACGTCACCATTTACTTTTTGCTTTTGAGTGAATCGAGTATTCAAATAAGCAGATTACTTTTTCAAATGTTTGCGTCGTCAGACTTGTCATTGCTAGAATTAGTCGGGAAGAACAAAGCCACAAGCTTGACCGTAAAATTAAGCAACAAATACTATCAACCATGTCTCCACAATTTCTATAACAAAACAAAAGTTGATATCAGAAGAGAGCTGAAATGAACATCTCATATTTATGAGAACAAAGTTCCAACAAAAAGTCATATAGCACGGTGTTTATTCTATAAAGACTAATAGGCAATGGAGAAAAAAATAGAATCAGCCTCAAATGCAAGCCTCGAGTATCTGAGCAAGATTTCCAAAACTCTCATGACAAAAATAACAAATACCTTTAAGCCTTCTTCCCTGAGTATATCCTTAGTAGCTTGCAGCATCCCAGTGTACTTAGAAGTTCCATGCACAAAATTCCGAAGCGAGGCCCACTGATTAGTGGGTTCCAGTTGGACCTGAAACGTTGGTAAATAAGAATTTAGCTCCTGATGTACAATCAAGCAAGAGATGGAGGATAGAATAAAATAATGCACAGAGAGAGAGAATATTTTCCCAGCTTCGAAAACTTTTCTTTTGAGTCAAGGGTCTATGCTGAAACAACCTCCCTACCCAATAAAGGTAGGGGTAACGTCTGCGTACATCCTACCCTCCCTAGATCCCACTTGTGGGTCTATACTGGGTATGCTGTTGTTGTAAAGAGAGAGATAGAGTGTGTGTTTTGAGAAAGCACAAAAGAAAAATAACTGACATTCTTCTTAAAGGCTCGAGATCATCATCTAAAGCCACCTTCAGTAACTAGGCTAACAACAAAATCCAGCATCATCACATTTAAATGAAAGAATGTATAAGTCTAAAATAAGTAGATTACATAAGCTTGGCCGAACATGCTACTATACTACAATGTGGAAGTTCAACTACATGCCCGTGAGCCACGAGATTGACTAAAGAAATACAAAAAGCTTCCTTAGTTGTGAAAATTAACGTTGTACTATACGCGTTTAATGTCACTGCATAAGACGCCCCAATGGCCAAGTTCATGAACCCAAACGCAAAAGTTAAATCAGCACTAAATATATACAGAATATACACCTGAAATCTGATCTTGATTACATCGAGAGGTGAGGTTACAGTTCTCGATATACCTCCAGAAACTGCTCCCGCTGTGGCATCTATTAATGCCCTTTTAAGTTGCCCTGTATCCTCCATATCTACAATAGACTAAACAACCTGCAATCACATTACAAAGAAAAGCAACACCCATGTTAAAAATCCTTAACTAGCCCTAGTGAAATAAAAAAGCCACCATATCCAAAGTCAAGCTTACATATTGAGGTGCATTTTCTGTATATATTTTTTAAAATATGTGGATACATAAATAATGAACTCACTACCAAACAACTAGATAAACACATTGAACTTAGAAAAAAGATATAAAATCAACTAAAACAACAACAACAATATATCCTGTGAAATCCTACAAGGTCTGGAGAATGTAGAGTGTACACAGACCTACTCCTACCTTACGGAGTCGAAAGGTTGTTTCCAAAAGACCCTTGCTGTATAAAATCAACTATTCCCACGGTAACTTTAAGTACCAGATAACTTTGTCCACCAAGGCTAGCACAAATAGAAAGAATCATCAGGTCTCTTAACTACTTCATTTACCAGTAAGTCACACCCTTGAGTGCAAATGCCTCTTTCCTTCTTTGATTTACCAGTAGATCACACACTCTTTAATTCTAATTTTCTACCTAACATGTTTCAAGACTAAAGAGCATTTTTGCGCTCACATGATTCAAAAGCTTAAACTCCGTATAAAATCAAAACCAAACAAAGACAAATAAATTGAAACGAAAGAGTACTAATTAACAATGCTTCAATACCAAATCATTTGAGGTCCATTTTTTTATCTAATTACTTCTTATAATCAGTTAATTCCAGTTATATGAACACAATTTGAGCTAACAATCAGCAATACCAAAGACAAAAACACAAACTTTATTAAAATTCTAATAAAATGAAACATCAAAAGATAGAATTTTGTTAAATGGGTCGATAACTAAATGAAGAAAAATGAATACCTGATACTAGAAAAACTGGTGAGAAAGAAAGGGCGCAGCTTCCATTGATGAAAATTATCAGAGCTAAAAGAAGTTCAAAAAATTGTAACAATTATTTATAAAACCACAAAATATTAAGGAATATGGGGAAATTAAAGAGTTTTATTTTTTCTGCTGCTCAGAAAATATGAACAGAGAGGCAACAATGGGAAATTCTTGAAATAGGGAAAAAAGAGGAAATACAAATGGTATTTTTGGGTTAATATGGAAAGAAATTTATTTTTTTTCTTTTAGATTTGAGATTAATTATGGCATAATAACATGATAAATACAAAAAAAAATTTGACTAATTTTGCTTTTTTCTTGACCCATATGTAGTGAAAGTAGTTGGTACGAAGGAAAATATTTTTTAAAATACAGTAAAAAGAATTATTATTTTAAAAGTATTTATACGATTAAAATTATGATAAACTAAAAAGATCGATTATATTATAATAAAAATTGTGGTTGAGTGGTAAGTACTTATTTATTTTTAATTTGAGATCTCGGTTAGAGTCTGTCTAGTTATGAGTTGCGTTTAAGGAAGCACTTTACCTCTCAACCAATTTTTCTACGCGAATTTTAGATTCAGTCGGGTTCTAATATAATAATTGAGTGGGGAAAAAAAAGATTGCATCGATAACACTTCAAAATCGCTAGTAATTTTATTTAGGTACTCAATTTATGATGTGATTCGATTGAGCATTCGAAAATATAATAAGTATTCCTATTAAACACTTTCAACTAAACATTTTCAAAAAGTTTTTACGTCTTTAAGCCCTCAATTTGTAGATAAATTAACGAAAATTCATAACAATATCCCATAATATTACTCATTCTAAAATTAATTTCGAAATTAGTTATCCGTCCCTATATATTTTCCCTATTTTAAAAAAGGGTTTAGGACGGATTTTCTTTTCATGTTTACCCGCCGTCTAACTGCTCAAAATTTGTGTTCATTTCACTATGCACACCAACTGTTTGATACAATTACTAAACCAGCTCTTATCTCCATTCACCATTCCATGCTCAATTATATACAGCAAAACCGCAAAATTGAAGCTTTTAAGCTCTTCAAGAATCAGCTACAAATGGGTATATCAGAAATTGATGAAGTTGTTGTAGCTTTAGCTCTAAAGGGTTGTCGAGAAGATGTAAATCTTGGAACTCAAGTTCATAGCTTGGCGATAAGGAGTGGTTTCATTGAGCATGTAACTGTTCCAAATTCATTGATGAGTATGTATAGTAAAACTGGAAACTTTAATAATGCTATGTGTGTGTTTGATGGCTTGAAGTTCCCAGATAGAGTTTCATATAATACCCTGCTTTCGGGGTTCGAAAATAGTAAGGAGGCCTTGTGTTTTGTTCATTGGATGCATTCCGTTGGGGTTGTTTTCGATGCTGTAAGTTATACTACTGCTATTAGTCATTGTACAGATGAAGAGGATATTCTTGTTGGTAGTCAGTTGCATTCTCTTGTGATGAGGTTTGGAGTTGATAACGATGTTTTCGTTGGAAATGCACTTGTTACTATGTATTCAAAGTGTGGTTATATAGTAGAAGGTGAAAGAGTGTTTCTTGAAATGTCGTGTAAGGATTTGGTTTCGTGGAATGCATTGCTCTCGGGGTATGCACAGGAAGGGGGTTATTCATGGGAAGCTGCCTCGGGATTTAGGGAAATGATGAGGGAAGGGGTGAAACCTGATCATGTGTCGTTTACTAGTGCTGTATCTGCTTGTGGACAGGAGATGTGTTTGGAGCTTGCGAAGCAGATACATGGTTTGGTCATTAAAATGGCGTATGGTACTCATGTTTCGGTGTGTAATGTTTTGATATCATTGTATTACAAGTGCGATGTGACTGAAGATGCGGACAAGGTTTTCCAAAGTATGAATGAACGTAACGTTGTGTCTTGGACAACAATGCTTTCCATGAATAATGAGAATGTTATATCTATTTTCAATGGGATGCGGAGAGATGGGGTTTACCCCAATCACGTTACGTTTGTTGGATTAGTTCATTCTATAACTGTCAAGAATTCGTTGACAGAAGGCAAAATGGTTCACGGATTTTGTTTAAAGACAAACTTCTTCTCTGAACTGAATGTTGCTAATAGCTTCGTTACCATGTATGCTAAGTTTGAATTAATGGAAGACGTGTTAAAGGTTTTTGAAGAGCTCGACCAGAGAGATCTCATATCATGGAACGCTTTAATTTCTGGATATGCTCAAAATGGAATGTCTCGAGAAGCTTTACAAACATTCTTGTCAGCGTCAATGGAGTTACCACCAAATGAATACACGTTTGGCAGTGTCTTGAGCGCAATTGCCTCATCTGAGTGTATTTCATTGAAGCATGGCCAGCGATGCCATGCTTGTTTGATAAAGCGGGGATTAAACAGCAATCCAATTGTTTCAGGTGCTCTCCTTGACATGTACGCAAAACGTGGGAGTATCTCTGAATCTCAAGGAGTTTTCAATGAGGTCTCAGACAGGAGTCAAGTTTCATGGACTGCGATTATATCTGCTCATTCAAGGCATGGTGATTATGAATCAGTTATGGCTTTGTTTGAGGAGATGAAGAAGAAAGGTGTGAGTCCTGACTCAATAACGTTTCTTTCTATACTAACAGCATGTGGTCGAAAAGGAATGGTTGATACGGGAATAGATATCTTCAATTCCATGGTTAGAGATTACTCCATCGAACCATCTTCAGAGCACTACGCGTGTATGGTGGACATGTTTGGTCGGGCAGGGAGGCTACAGGAAGCTGAATTTTTCCTGGCTCAGATTCCCGGAGGACCTGGATTATCTGTGCTGCAAAGCTTACTTGGTGCTTGTAGGATTTACGGAAATGTTGACATGGCAACAAGAGTAGCCAATACATTGATCGCGTTAGAACCAGAGCAGTCAGGCTCATATGTCTTGATGTCGAATTTGTTTGCAGAGAAGGGGCAGTGGGATGAGGTAGCGAACATCAGAAAAGGAATGCGAGACAAGGGAGTGAAGAAAGAGATAGGATTCAGCTGGGTAGATGTAGGTAGCATTGAGCATTCTTTAAATTTGCACGGATTTTCATCGGATGACAAGTCTCACCCGCGGACTGAGGAGATATATTGGATGGCGGAATGTATAGGTTCAGAGCTGAAACATTTGGAGCACGACAAAGAAGAAAGTGAGTTCGTGACATTAGCCTATATCATATGAGTTCCTTGAACCTATGTTGCTCGGGCTCTTGAAATATGGCGACACGTGCATGTCTGATCCTTCAAAAGTAGTGCATTTTTGGAGGACCCGACACGGGTGTAGCATCTTTTGGAGAGTCCAAGCAACATAGCCTTAGACTAACTACATTCATTTTTTCTTGTTGTCCAGAACACAACATCCAAACTCTATGTAAATTACTTGTTGAAAAAGAACTTGTGAAGTAACTCCTTTGTTATCAGTCTTAACATACTGAAGCTGATGTTTCTTACACCATAACAAGGCATTTCTCGAGCGTTGGTGGGTTTTGGAGTACTTGTCGTAAGACACAACTGGATATATTGTATGTTGCGAGAGCATAATGTATTTGTGCTTCTCGTAAGATATATAACTAGATACATTGTATGTTGCGAGAGCATAATGTATTTGTGCTTGTCGTAAGATATAACTAGATATATGGTATGTGTAGAAACATAAAAAAAATTAACGCCGTTGCCGGGGATCGAACCCGGGTCACCCGCGTGACAGGCGGGAATACTTACCACTATACTACAACGACTTGTTTGTTGATTGATTTTATTTTGTTAGCCACATAACAATTTTAAGTTCAAAAACAATAAAAAGCAATTTTCACTTTCAAAAATTCAAAAACAATTCCGTTCGTATCCATGTTCAAACACAACTCCAATCTCCAAACATATCACTATCAACTCGAAAACACATAAGTTTCTCCAAATTTCACATTTCTTATATCCACGTAAAGAAAGTTAGTAACTTTACATATCTCTAACTTCAAATTCATTTCGATTTTTAACAACAATATCATACATATGAATGGATTTAAACCTATTAAAATCAATTGGGAGGGAAATAAGATGAATTGTGGATCTTTTGTGGTATTGAAGAAGTTGTGGATCATCATAATACCTTTCCCATCCAAGACTATAAAGCTTTTTTTCAAGATTTGCATAACATGTAATGACTTCTTTACTAGGAACATGTACTAGAACTTTCCGATGACCGGTCGTGGAGCTGACGTGGCAGTCACCGGGGGTTTCTAGCCGGACGACGCCGTTTTTGAAAATCCAAACACCTGACATGATGAGGGATAGAGGGAGGGGAAGTTGAATATATGTAAAAGATGGTGTTGTTGAAAAAGAATATAATGTGTGGGTTTTATAGGGTTAATGCATGGTGTGATATGCATATATATATATATATATATATAAATAAATAAATAAGTCCATATACGTATAAATACATGTGTGATGTAAATAGCCTTCCTTATTACAAATATTTGTAGCTGCTTCTACGGTTCGAATCTGATAAAGATAACTGTGTTATGTTATTGCATCAAGATTCCCCTTAATAAGTAATATATAGTATAAATTGTGGTAAGAAGTTTTATTTTTATTTTTTGAAGAGATAAAAAAGGAAAGGGCAAGTAAAAGAAGGTTATTTTTCAAAAACAAATTAAACTATTTGGAGTTCCGACTAATTCAGATTTATGTCACCGCTTTTTTTTTTCATCATGAATCTTATCCAACCCAATATTTCCATCAAATATATGGGACATGACACATCTCCATAAGTTCATCTTTTTGCTTCCCATGCATGCATTTAATCATAATATATTCTATATTTGGAAAGATTCATTACTCCTTTTTTTTTTGTTATTTATTCGATATTCATAGTGAATCTCAACTAATTCAAATTCTACATAAGACTGAAAGGTGGGGAAGCAATCCTACCAAAAATGATTTTTGTCAAAGGCTCGGACAAGGAGAAGTGTTCTTTATCAAGATTCTTTAATATTCCCGTAGATATCATTGGTCATGAATCCCTTTGCTCGACCCTAGAGTATGAAAACAATTTTGATAGAAATATTTTTCTTTTAAATAGACTTTATGCGGCATGAATCTGAATTAGTGGAAGCTCAATACGAATATCAAACACCAGATAATGCATTGGAAGCAAGAAGATGAACTCATAGAGATGTCCATGTCCCATGTTTGGTGGAAATATTGAAATGGATAAGATTCATGATATGAGAAGAAGAAAAAAATTAAAGAAAAAGCAACCTAAAGAATTCAAAACTTGCCCATTCATTGAGGAAGTGGCATAGACTGACAAGAACAAGAAAGAACATAAAAACTATATAATATAGTTTGGAACCAAAAAAAATACTATATAATATAATCATCTTTTCCCCCTCTCACATTGTACATGTGTTGATAAGACACTTTCCTTCTCAAGTTAGTGTAAGGCTATAAAAGATTTTGTTTATTCCCAAAGAAATTAAGTTCTATAAAACATATAATTACATGTAATTCAATTTAATAATAACCTTAAATAAATGGTAAGTAGTCCTTTTAAATATCATTTGCACTATTTTTAAAAAAAAATTATTTCTTATTAATATGTAGGACACGTGCGAAGCACAATGTGATGAACACAAAATAATTTGGTCTTTTTACCTATATTCATTATTATTAACGCGATATATACATGTAATTAAATCTCGTATACATAACTAGTACTAAAAAAAATGAGCACAAGTTAAATAGCGACATCAAAATTGGGCCTTTAACCCCATGAAATTGTTGTTGTTGGGCTGTTATTTATTTTCTGTAATGTGTTTATAAGCATTAAGGCCCAAAACTATAGAGGACATTAACAAGAAGCCCATCTCATAGATCATCATTTGCACTTTTAGTCCAATTTTGTTCACATTTGCACTTTTAGTCCAATTTTGTTCACATTTGCACTTTTAGTCCAATTTGTGCTTAGTCTTTAATTTTTGTCCCTCAAGACAAAATACTTTTTAGGATAATATAAGTTTATATTTTTGTTATTATAATATTCTACAATTTATGATTCATAAACCTATTTGAAGAGCAAATCATGTAACTGAAAGTTTGATTGGTCGATTTGGTCAGCTAAAGATGTTTAAGACCTAAAAATTTCATATCATTTTAGCTTTATTTAATTGCACAATTTTTTTTCCGGATGATTTGGTTTTTACTTTTTGTGCAAATAAGCTAAACTACCGAGTCCTGCCAAAGTCTTAATGACATGTAGCCTCGGACTTTGGTCCAGTGATAAAAGTGTGACATGTGATCTACAGATCAGACTCATACCACATATTTGAATCCAGCTATAAATAAACAAAATGATAATGATGGGGTCAGTTGAAAACATAATCTTCTTTTAGCTTCACATGAAATAATATCTTCTTATTTACACAATGAATAAATCCAAAGAGCTGACCAAATTTATTTTTTGATAGATAACCTTCACAAACTTGAAAGGTCAAGAATCATTAAAGAACAAAAAAGAAGGCAAAGGTTGTCTACTTCAACCATTGGTTATGATTGTTAATAGCAAGACTCTTTTATTATCTTAAAATTAGAATATAATCATATTTTGTAATGATGACGTTCTAGCTAGATTGCTATCAACCACATATAATGCACCAGATACCTGATATTTGTAACCAACACAAGTATCAAGTAACTATATTTACCTGGTTTTACAAAATAAACTCATCCCTCGGTCAAACACAAGTTGGATCAACAATATAAATCTTACTGCTTCATTTAAACTCAACTCATGTCATCATCGTACCAAATGAAATAAAAGTGAAAACCAATTCTAACATGCTCAATGAAATTCTCCAACACTTCCTCTTATTCATGAAAATGATGAGCAACAATATACATAGATTACAAATGAAGTAAAGGTATTTTGGAGAACAATGTCAAACAAATTGAAAAATTGTGAATAACATAAACTTTCTACTATAAGCAAAATAACCATCTCCTCTCCTCCTCTCCGGGGCCTCGGTTTCCTTACTGTGGGGACAAAATGCAAAATAATATGAAACAAAATTGACAAAATTGTTCTTCAGATTGACAAAACTTATAGACGAGTCGATGCTTTTGAGGTACGTTTGTTCATTCCCAGGATTATCACCATTACAGTCACATCATCATGATATTTCCTCCTCCTCCCAGCTGGTATGCTCATCAACTCTTCCTTACTAAAGCCTGCAAATGTATGGAGTTATTCATATTCTTTTACGCAGGCATATACACAATCTTACTTGATACAACCTCAGAGGATCATCAACACAAAATTTACTACTCCCTCAGTTTCAATTTGTTTGACTGGCGACTCGAAATGGTGTTGAAGTAAAGAAGACTTTTGAATCTTGTGATCTTAAACTATAGATACGTAGAATGTACCAAAATGTTCTATAAACTTGTGGTTTTAAATATGTCATGTGGAAAGTTAGAATAAAAGAGTTGTCATTCGTTTTGCTGATATCACTGCATTAACTAGCAATTAAAAAATTGATTAATATGTGGATATGTGCCATGTTGTGTGTCTAATATAATGTGGTTTCATTTGACTCTGTTGTACCGTAAGGATGCAAGATTGCCAACGTGCTGACAGTCGAAATAGTGGTCTAATGTAATACTATTTGATTAAATTAAATGAAAGTAGATGTGGTCAAATGGAGAGAGTATGATGAATATGTCATACCTGCACAATCTGCAGCTCTCATGACAAGTTGCTCCAAAAGAAATTTGGCTGGATCACCAAACGGGTAACGTTGAATGTAAGAATGGACAAGCATTACAACATCATCGTTGTTGAAGAAGTCAAATAGACCATCGCTTCCAAGTACAACAAAGTGATCAGAACTAGATATTTCATGTACAGTCCGAGACGGCTGTACAGTAACATATGGAGGACTAACTAGATTCCGGACACGAAGAATTCCCATCAAAGCATCATTCATACTCTTCTGAAATAAGAAAATGGAAGTGTTAACCTTCCTAATAAGTAAGAAGCAAAAAAAGAAAAGATTGTATTAATGTTGGAACCAACATGATGCCACAAACTGAAAATCAGTCAAAATGGACGGAGGGAGTAGAAGTTGCACCTTTTTCAAGTAACCCACTCCAAGTGCCCGAGTAACCTTAAGCTTTCCCTTTACTTTCCCACCCACGATTGTTGAGGGATCTTCAGGATGATTCTTTAATAGTTGAATTCTTTCAGATTCATCATCAACAGTATGACTAACAGTCAGCTGCACAGCTTGCAACCTTCCATCACTATTAGCACCAACGCCTTCACCATAAGTTGCCAATACAGCTCGACTATCTCCTGCATTGAGCACATACATGTTCTTCCCGAGTAGAAGCACCACTAATACACAGGATCCAATCGACACTAAGTCAGGACGGTTATCCATTTCTTGTTCAACCATGTGAAGGAAATCATTCTCAGCTTGAATAAGAGCCAGTTCCAGACTATTAAGAACCCTTTGATTAAAAGACGGACATGACTTTTCCACTTCTAAATAAGGAAGCCCATAAAAGCCCACGCGATCAGAAACTTTAGACTCTCGCTCGAGTTCACAGTCTAATAAACCAAGGTAATGCCTAATAGTTTCGTACAATGTTCCAGCCAGAAAAT